GTTAAAGTTGTCTTGATTGCCAGCAAACACAAATTGCACAGGTCTTCACAAGCATTCACCTCTCATCACCCAAAAATGTATATGTTAGATATGTTTTAAAAGTTTATCTCAGACCTAGATTTTTTTTTTTTTTATGGTTATTGCAATATTTCCAGTTTTAAATGTGGGGAATTTTACTAGAACAGGAAGTCTCTATAAAACTAGAATGAATGTCTCAAAATCTGCTTGCTGTGTTGATAATCAGATACAAATAATGTATTTTTAGGAGCCTGCACAGTACACACCTATATTGTATTTACACATGAAACTATATAGGCAAAAATAAACTACTGTCATACTGGCATTATTTTTCTATTAATAAAATAATTAATTTCAACACCAGAATATTGATCATGACCATTGGCAAGATGTAGTAATCAAGGAGCTCCAATTTTAGTTATACAAAAAGAACCCTCAATTGACATCACCTTTTAAGACATTGATAGAACCATAAATACTTACTACTTACTTTTGTGTCACCATGCCCGAAATGCCATGTTGTCCGTTACAGAAAAAAAAGATCTTATATTCCAATCGTTCCACCTATCTTGACCCAAAAACATAGTATCTGGGTATCTACTGTACTGAATAGGAGCAAGAAAATGTTGAATTAAATGTACAGAATTTCTCCCTTCTTCCTAGGGGGTTATTAGGCCCATATTAGTAAGCATATTGGTAAAAGAGGGGTCATATCTCTTCCTCCTATCTTAACTTTCTTTGTACTTCCTGCAGTTTCTGGAAAAGTGGATGAGAGGGTTCTAAAGGTGGTCTTTTCAACTGTTCAAAAAAGCAGCTCCATGGTATTTGAACTAGATGCCAAGAAAATTTGGTTTCAAAAAGTTTGTCCCTTGAGAACAGCAATCAAATTGTCCCTAATGGCATATGACCAGTAAAGGAGGTTGCAAGAAGTATGCTTTTAGTTACTCCTCTCTGGTGTATCAAAGAAAGATCCCCAAGCAGAAAGTCTGCTCTACCACTGTTGTCTCTCCAAGGGAAACAGGCAGATTCTGTTGGTAATATGACTTTGCAAATGAGTTATCATATGGATATAAAGTTACAGGTAAAAGTTACAGCTGTTCCCTGGCACTTCTGTGTGCATGCTCTTTCTCTGGAGTTAATATGGGAAGTTACTCCTCAGTGAAGGTGGGGTCTCTTCGGTTGGCGGTAAGCTCTCCAGACACCAGGACTTGTGTATCGAACTGTGACTAAAAACATCCCTCCTGTCTTCCACCTTTGACCATTCACCCAAAAATGGAATTGAAATCTGAATTGAGATCCGGGTCCCTAATGTTCTGAGAGGTATTTAGGGTCATTTGGAGTTTTATCCATACAGAAATTATTGCCACTTATAAATAAAGAAGTAGGTCTCCAATAGATTGGTCACTATATTGGAACATCTCTGTCCCTTTTTATGCAAAAAATAAACAAACAAATAAATGTACACAGGTGGGTGGAAAATGTCTTTTCTCCTATACCTGAAGAAGGGTGCTTGTGGTCAAAAGCTTGCAATTAAAGACTTTCAGAAGGTGGCAATCTGTTCAGGACAGTTTATATTTTACAACTTTATGTCCCTATGGAGGGCCTAACTCAGGGGGGTAATATAACAAAATATATCCATATAGAATACGGTTCCAGGAATTGCCTAAAAGACAAAAGAATCCAAAAGGAGGATTTGGAACATACCATTGTGGATATTTGCCCACACTTATGTTGCTACTTCTCAGAACAACAAATCCTGAACTTCGCTACCGTAGCAGCCAACATCTCTTTCATTTTCTCCGTCTGTCTGGAAGCCTGGGGTGCTGATAATTTTGGAGTGATGTAGCTGTGATGGTCCATGAAGTATGTAATATCACCCCTCTAATCCCCCCATTCTTGTTTGTTGACTCGCAGTCTGCCTAAAAGTGATCACTTCCATATTGGAGATCATAGGCAAAAGCAGCACTTGCCAACACATTTATTTCAATGCCTTTCATAGGTATGGAGGTACTAACAAAACTTATTTTCAAAAATGGTCTTGAATCTACATATATGCTTATTTAATCAAGTTTTATTCCAGGCTTTAAAAATATATATTTTTTCTCATTTAGATCAATTTCATAGTTGGTGAATTCACACCAGTGCATAATATTCACACCATATATATCTGCGTGCTTCAGGGTTTAAACCAATCTGTAAAACAGATTACCAAGCTACAATGCACTGTGTAAAGAGTGAAGCATATATTTAAAACAATTACCACTCCTACCTCAAAATGCATAATGTTGACAATTGCAGCCAATAAAAGTTAGTTGGAATACAGAACAATGCAATTCAGGAGGTACAAAATATATGCAAAAAAACCCTGAGATATCACACCAGGAAAATTATGGGGGGAAATTAACTTTCTGGAAGAAAATTATTTTGCTATGAATTGAAATATGACATTATAAGTAAATACAGAATTGGTAAAAAGTAGAGGACTTTGGATATTTATCAAATTTGGTGATAAGCTATTAGCATCTCTGAAATAAATATGCAAAATTTATTTAGGCTTTAAAATAACTGAGAGGAAGAAGTGTCCTACACATTAAGTGGACTTTCTATAAGAAGTAACACAGATCAGCATCTATAGTCTATCAGAGCAGGGACTGAATTCGGCTAAAGCTGGGACTATAATGATAGAAGAAACAAATAAAGCATACTGTTATGCTGAAGAGAGACTCTGGGAAGCTACCAATTAGTCTTTGAGTTGACATATATTCTGTCTTTCAAAGGTTTCTTTAATAGATTTTTTCCTTCTTGTAAGGAAAGACCGATTGCTGTTTGATTTCAGTTGAGGTATTCTTTACTGCCATGTCCTTTTCTACAAAGTTACTGCAGTCTGGGTTCTAACACCACTGAGGTGCACTGCAAGCTCTTTCTCTATGATACAGGTGTCACTATTGTATAATATACACATAAAATACCAAAGTCAGGAATATACCAGTGATGTGCTGGAAGGAGCTAGAGTGACCCACTAGAACCCCTTCCTAATGCCATCCAAACAGATTACAAAGTTCTGGGACATTTCTCTGCTTCTGTATGCTGCCAATTCTTCCCTGCCAGAGATCACTTACCCATAGAACACAAAATTTTTATTTCTGAAAAGGATTTCTTTTTCATTCTCTCCGAGTTCACACACCCCTGATTGTACCCTGGCTGTTTCACAAGCTAACAGATTTTGTATAAGTCCTTTGTTAAATTATTGGCAGCATACTGCAAAAATGTACACTGGTGTACATAATTCCTTATAACGCTGAACAGCTGAGTACACCCGGAGGACTAGCCATCATAATTTTAACATTGCATTTTTTTAAAAAATGCCACTATGGATCAAACTCTGCTCATCTTGCACACATTGACTTGGAAAGATTCATTGCTTGAATACAGCAAGCAGGATGTAGCTCTGCATTTTGTACATCACTGTAATTCTCAATGAACCTCTTCAAATAGTACTGGTGACACGGTGGCACTAACTCCTTCTCTGATTTTGTTCATTTAGTTCCAATTCAGTGTAGTGTCTTCACCCCGGCAGCTGAGGAATATACCACCATGCACACAAATCTAGCAACTCAGCCAGTACTCATTTGGTAAAGCAGAGAATGCTGCATCAAACGCTGCATCATATGTAAGGTCAGCAAGAATCTTTTGGCTTATTTTTCATTAAAACATGTATGATAAGAGTTTTATTGGAATGGCAAGATATAAAACCAAACAGCTATCTGCATCCCACCCTCAGAATCCCTGTGTCACCAAGAACACAAATTAAACTGGACAACAGTGATCTTCGTGACCCTGGGGCTGCACTGGCAAGTTGCCAGGACCACAACGTTTACACCTAATTTTGCTTACATATTTACATACTTTTTAAAATATCAAAACTCAAAAAACAAAACAAAACTATGCAATCATAATATTTCCAACTACATTTTATCGCCTGCAATACAGGACTATAAATTGCTTTCTGTTTGCTTTCACTGTCATAAAAGCCTGCAGTTGAGTGCTTTGTCCTCACCCTGCAATTACAAGTAGAGGGTTTTCATGGTCTGTGCTTTAGGACGCTCCAAGCTTCATTTGGACGTTAGGCCACACTTTGATCAGCCTTTGCATAGGGAGAATATATGTATATACGCCTTCCGCTTCCAAAAGGGTCACGGTATGGACAAATGGCTTAACAATTAAATCCAAGCATACTCCATGAAAACAATTAGCTTTTTTATTATTCTTTTTTATTTATTCAAAAAGTAAGGCCACTAAACAGATGCACACCAAGGGAATCAACTTAAGCACATTCCTAAATACTGACTCCAGTGGAGCATAAGCCTCTATGCCTAACAGTTTTGCAGTTCTGAATAAACCTAAACATCTGTGTAAATCCTTTCCTGGTATAAGGGACCTAGCACAGGCTGAACTGGGTTCATGCGTGTCCATGTAGTCAATGAGAAAGTGCTGAATTCAGTATCTGGCTCACAAGTGCCTATGTAGCAGCCACATTTTTCATGTTAACTGGGTGAATTAACAGATTGCCACACCCAATATGATTATTGTCGTTGTTCTAAACGGTAGGTATTCAAAGTATAAAAACTTAATGCTGTTTCACTGCACTCTCTATTCCACTAGAGGTCAGCCTGCCACAGAACCCCAAGCAAACACAGGAGCTACCGCACGCCAGCAGCACTGACATTATTTTCTTTCTCTATTTTATCTATTAAAAAAGATTTCTTCAGAGCCATAACTTAGATCTCACACTAAAATGGAGCAACAGGAAGATATAATGGTGCATTTCATTTATGAATGACCTATAATAAATTACTATGAGGTATTCTAGGTGCCAAGAAAGAGAATGCTTTGTCTGCACATGAACTATATTTCACATACTTTAATTTGGCTGACACATAAAACTCATTTGACATTTTGCAGGTATTTCTTTGAAAGGATATTTGGTTCTTGTTGAGCGTTAAGGTATGGAGGTGGGGTAACCTGGGTAACAGAAGGTCATTTCCGAGGAGATTGTTGTCCAAGATCAGCTCTTCCAGGCAACTGAATGTTTTCAGTCCTTCTAGTGACCTGCAAATGACAAAGGCAACAGGAAAAATGATACTCCACTAAATCAGGGAGGCCATTATGAGCTGAAATAAATATTTTAACCTTCCTTTTCAGGAGCGGGAATAGTTTTGGTTTGGGCCTGTCAGGAGAGTGAATGACAAGAATTAGTGGCAAGGGGAGTGCTGGCACTGCAACACATCCTTCACATGCTGGCAGGATGAAGGATGGGGGTCACTTAGTGAGTAGCCAGGATCCAAAACAAAAGGCTTCAGATATGGGGCCTGCAGGATGAATTTGTCAATGTCTTGTGCCTTCAGGCACCCAGCCTCGCCTGACCCTAACCTCCATTCCCAAGATAAATAACTCTGTCACAGTTCACCTTCATTCCCTGGACACAAATTTAAGTTGTCATCCATCATTTCTGCCAAGAAATATCATACCCTACTAACAATAATAAATACAACTTCAAGTATCATTTCTTAGCAGTTACCCTACATGCAATAATAGGAAATTGTGAAAGGATTTTTTTCTTTTTATTAACCACTTAATTTGTTCCTGTTCAAGTCTCTGCAAACAAAATAAAATTACCCTAGACAGAAGCCATGTCCTCTGGTTTAAAACTTACTGCCCTGCTGTCAAGATAAAGTTCAGAATGTAGAAAACAGCTTTAAAAGGGGGAATTTTACAGCGTGGAAATGCAGATGTAGGGTTGTAAACAAACAGGCATCTGTGGGAATCTGTCACCCAGTTAGGAAAATACGGGGAGAAATGAAAGAGATGGCTTTGTTGCTCTGCTAAGGCACTTATTCCAAAGTTAACTCTTAATTTCATCGGCTTGCACATTCCTGCTGGAAAAACACATGCATTAATCAAGTAAGACTGCACTGTATATAGAGCATACGCACAGACGCACATTCACAGCTCATTCACCTACCAGACACCTAGAGATATGCTGAGATTGCATGACTTGACAGCTGATCTACTATGCCTACCAGTGGGAAGATCATCACTGTATCTCCTGGCTGTTTTATAAAATGTGATGAATAAGGGAGATGCAGTCTATACTATTTATTCACTTTCTGATGACATTTATACTAAGGGGATTTTCCTCCTCCCTCCCTCTGTTTTTTTGGCAAAGATCAAAACTAGGCAGGGCCTCTGTTAGACTGTTATGCCACATGCTGTTATTGAAGAAATATGCAAATATTAACCTAATGCAAATATTTATACAAAATGTTTGTGTTTTAAATCCCACAGATTAATTTAACACCCACCAAGTCAGCAAAAATCATGATGCCCCTTCTGCACAGGCACCCTCACCCCCAGTCCTCTCCTGAAACCCCATTAGTGAGCACAAATCAAAAGCTTCTCTCTGAAGATCAAGTCTCTGACCTTCAAAATACAGATCCATATATATATTTATGAAAGTTAAATACACACACACACACACACACATACATACATACACACACACATATATATATATATATATATATATATATATGAAAGTAAAAACTAATACAAAATTGCTTTTACAACAGCATTCACCTGAAGATCTCCAAGCACTGCCAACATTATTTATGCAGTGGTATTTGAGGGTGGTGAGGTTAAGTGTCATTAACCCCATTTGATGGGCACTGAGGTACATGGAGACCAAGCAAATGATTGGCCAAGTCTACATTACACACTTCTGCTAGCCAAGCTGCATCAGCCAGAATGCCTGGAGGTATAATCTGACCAAAGAGAGAGCAAAACCCCTAGTATAAATAGGTTCACTGAAAATACTGTTCCTTTGCTATAATGGTTTATTTCACCCAGGGTGGGGGAGGTGTTGCTGAATAAGCTGTACACAAAAGCCCAGTTTTGCCAGTTTATGCTGTATGCATACCAAGAGAGCCTTGACAATAACTCACAGCAGCATAGCTTCATCGAGAAAGTACACCTAGCGTAGACCCGGCTTCCACCAAAATCAGGAGTAGACCCTAGGTCTGCTTCTCTGGTCAAACCAGAAGAACTGTGCCTTCTACACAAATTAAATATTTTTCTTGCACAAATCTAGTTGGTCTAATAAAAGATATTACCTCTACCATGAGTCCTGATTCCTTCCACACAAGTGCCATTTAAGGGGAAACAATCTAGAGGAAGAAGCAGCAAATTTATCAGGCTGCTATGATTTTTTTGTTTCAGTTTATTTGACAAACCTAGTTTAGAAAGTTCCCTTTAAACACTCTTTATTATATAAATAGTTAATAGTGGATTGTATCCAAACCTCACTTTTTAATTTAAGGCCCCAGCTTGCCAAAAGGAGTTCAGAATAGGCCACCTCCTTGTCAGCACCACAGAGCCTTATGGGACTCTAATAGGCCCTTTGTGAATAAACATTGCTTGGGCTCTGGTCAGTGTCAGCATCAAAATACACATTGTTCCTGAGTTATGTTATGCAAATATAATACTCTTATCATGAGAATCAGCAAATGGTTGGCAACTGGCAAGGAGAAGAAAGCACACATCCAAAACTGCTGCAGGGGAGGCATAAAACAAAATGACAAGGCATGAAGTGGGACAAAGGCCTTGAAACACTAGAGGGAGTTGCCTATTGAAACGGCCTTTCTTTCTAAAGCTTAGGCTGAACACAATGGTACTAGTTTCACAGATGAGCAGAGAAAATTGTGCGCAAATCCCCTTACACCTGTCTGGTTTTGATAATTTTTGCCATGTAATGTTATTAGCTGCTCAGTTAAAAAGGAGCTGTGTTACACAGGGGGTTGCTTATTAATTGTTGTTTTCATGTCATCAACACGGTGTGCACTTGGTGATTTAATCAACTAAATTCAGAGCCTAGGGAGGGAGGAGGGCTTGCTATAGTGCAGAGACATGGTGTAAACAATTAACATAAATGTATGTCCATATGTTATTTTGCTATTCACAGAATTCCATAAGGGGGCCTGGGGGGGCACGCTTTGGGGGCTTTTGTGTTTTCCTTAACTCTAAAGAAAATGAAAACAACAACAAAAACCAACTGCCAAAACCCAGAGTGCTTGAGAAAATAAAGAAAGATGACATTTGTTTTCTGCCATTTAGTGAAATTAACTATTAAATTCAGAAATGCAGGTGCATCTTCTATTACTATATATAATTTCTACTAGTTATATCCTGAAACTAAAAAGCACAGGCTCTGAAAATGAATCCAGAGCCAATTTCCTGTGTGAACTTCAGTAAGTCAGGTAATTTCTGCATGCCTTGATCTCCCATCTGTGGAACGGGAATAATACCACCTACCTACCTACAGGAAGATTGGGATGCTGAATTAATGTTTGTAAAGTTTTCTGAGAGCCTCAGGTGACAGGTGCTATAAAAGTACAAAGTATTAGGATTACTATTTCCATCAAATGCCAAACAGATTGTGTTACTATATTCAATATATTTTATTATTAACATATCCAAAATTGGAAGGGGGCAGCAAAAACAGCAGCTCTCTCATAGCAAAGAGCACAGCTGAAAACACACACACACACAGATAGATAGATAGATAGATAGATAGATAGATAGATAGATAGATAGATATATATAGATATCAATATAGATATATCTAAATCTATACATATCTATATCTATCTCATACCTAGGAAGGGAAAATCCCCATAGTCTTAAAAAGAGGCAGACAAGTAAAAAGAAGGAATTCCCTGAGAAACCACCATCTTAAAATGAAATCTTGGATGCTTCCTCATCTTTTACAGCACCTAGACATGTCCCAGGCTTGGTAAATTAAAACCAACAGGCACAGCCTTACTGCCACAAAAGAACCAGGACTGAAGGGGCAATGGCAGGTAGCTGTTTTCTCTAGATACTTTAGAAAGCTAATAAGCATCACTGAAGCGTATTGCTGGTTGCTTTTTGCCTGCTCTAATGACATGAAAGCTGCCCATTATCTCACCCACAGGTACCATCTCGGTTACCTCATTGCAGGGCTCACACTCCACTCCCAGAAGAGAGCAAGTGCTGCCAAGAGATTTCCATTGCAATTTCCAAAGTCACATCAAAATGACAAAACATCACAACGTATTCAGCTCTGCCTGATTCGAAAAGAAAGAACTTTAAGTTTCCACTGTAATTAACCCTATCCTCGTTAAGATAATTATGATCAAGCTCCCTGTCACAGCTAATATCACAGCATCATTGCCTATGGCTCACGCTTTGCCCTCATTAGCTTACAAAAACACTGCGCTAAACAGGCAACTGAGTCCCTCTGCCAAATGACTTAAGATGTTCTATAACCAGACAGTAAATAATCCTTTAGAATACAAAGGTCTCAGAAATGTCCTTTTATCCAAGTCCTCCACCTAATCAGCATGATTTTGCTCAGCTTTCCTTTCCATAATTCATTCATGATCTACTGCAAAGTTTTAACCATAAAGGAATGTCATTGTGGGGATTTTTCACTGTGTATGCATGGTAATTGTTGACTATACCATTTTATACAGTTCCCCTGGCCTGATGTGGAAATGGATTTGGTTACAATGAAACTAAATAGCAGCTATTCGAATTGGTAATATTTGTCCATGGGTACACAGGATTTAGAGAGATGAAAAAGCAAAGCCATCTCATCAAAGAATGGCCAAACCTCAATATTATGCAGTTGTCCTTGTCCTGAAACAGCAATCTGCTCAGAAGTATATTTTAAAGAGGACATGCTCCTTCTACTCTCTGTTAATAAGACAGCTGACTCATTCCTAATGACATTTTTTTCCCTGTTTAACAGGAAAGAGAGGGCAGTTAACAATATGTAAATGAGAGAGTTTGGCTTTTTCCTTGAAATTGATTTGTACTCTGCTGACAAGAGATAGCCATTACCAGAAGTTAAAGATAGGGTTGTTATGAAAGGAGAGCTTGTTTAAAATCACTCCCCTTGCCTTTCTAAATTTTAGCAGATTAAAAGAAAAGGCATCATCATCACTGAAGGATGATGCCTTAATACCTAACAGGTAATGATTTCAGTATTCAAAGAAATAATACTGATTTAC